AATGAAAAGGAAAAAAAAAATCACCCTTTAAATATGTTCGAGCCAGATATAACCACCATACCATAATCACACATTTCGCTAGTTATTGAAGAGAACTGCAAATTGGTTTAACGTCCCAATTCGCAGTTCTGGAACACTCAAATTTGTGCACTGGTTTTGCTGTTTTACTGATCTTATGGATTTCCACGTTCTGGTAAGATTTCATGTTTCATTGGTTTTTCAACTTCCAAGGCTTTCTCATGTTTCCCAATACTTGTGATGCACATCCATTCGGTTTTCAGGGCAGAAAAAACTGAATGCGCCCTTATGTTTTCAAGGAAGGAAAAACTATTAATTATGTATTTTGTTTTTATTTCTACAATATTTTCTATTCATTATTTTTCTTTTATAGGCATAATTTTAAAAATTGGACCGATTATCAAATCAGTTAAAGTACTAAATTAATAAGTTAGAGGTTGAATCGATGAGTCATTAATCGAATCGCATGATCTAATTTATATTAATTTCTTAAAAAATATTTATGTTATATATATCTCATACTTATAAATTTTAATAAACTCATATCGTGTTTTAAAGAATTCTCCAAAAAAAAATATTTTAAATAATCATATTCACTTGGATTCAATTCCTATCTTATTCAAAATCATCTTTATTTTTATTTTGTATGAAAAAATACATGAAAAATTTGCATGTTGAACTATATAAATTAATACAAATTAAAAATATAAATACTGTGTGAATATATAATATATATATTTGTAATTGATGTCACAAAATAATACATGTAATATGTGTATATGTATTATAGTGTTATATATATAGTTTAAAATTAATTATACTATATAACTTATTTAAGTAACTTATATAATAATTAAACTTGTTGGTGCAAAGGTTGATAAATCTCTATTCATGACCAAGGAACATGGGTTTAATTCTCATGTGGTGTGTGTTCTCTTTATTTTCTTTTTAAAAGAATCTCCAATGGTCGAATCGGTCTAATTCACTGGTTCAACCAAAATATCAATTCATGATACTGTTATCTAACAAGCCAAATACATGCTCGGATTGGTTGGGTTGTTGATTCCCAGTTCAACCGATTGATCCTTTTAAAACACTACCTGTATGAATATTTTAATTGTTAGCAACTTTTTCTATAAATGTAATAATTTTGTTTCATCTATACCTATATATAAAAAGAGTACATAAGTTTATAATCATTTTTTTGTCTACACATTTTCTACATGTTTTTATTATTAAATTTTTAAATAATAAAAGATAATATTACAAATTAACCACCTATATAACCATTTAAATAAGTTAATTACCTCTAATCACTCAAATTTTCTAATTTTTAAACACTTTTATTACGTAACCTCAATTTTTATTTATTTTAAAATTTTTAAATAAAATATAAAGATATAGAGTGTCTCAACTTCACTAATCTTTTCACAAAATAACAAATTTTGTTTATAATTTGGATAACTACAATGAATTTTATTTATAGTCTATGTAAATTTTAATATTAATTTATATAATAGAGTATAAATTTAAACAATGTATTGAAGCGTACGAATACCCCATGTACCAATACTTCATAAGGTTGCATACCGTGTATCATACTTGTACCAAGTACCAAAGTGTATTGTGAATTATGTGACTATGCATCATGTACGATAAAGGGAGTAATTTTTGAATCGGGTATAACTCCCATAGACAACAAAACTTTCACTCCAAATATGTTTAAACTAGATATAACCATTATAGATGACAAAAATTCCTCTTAAATTTATTTTAAATAAATTAAAATAAAAATTCATAATGTGGTCTAAAACGGTAAGGAGTTTGAAATGAAAAAGACATTAGAAAAGAGAAAAAATGATTTAGATTTCTAAATTAAAAAAAGATAGAATAGATATCCTTTTTTATATAGTAGTATAAATTTAACACAATTGTATATCCAAAATTGAACTCAATACTATCCATTAAAACAATGTCTTACTGGTTAATCCATGTAATTAGTGGTGTACCGACCAAATAAATGAACTTGGGCAAATACATATATTACTGAGGTGGAACATTAAAACAAACTCGACAAGTTAACAATGCAAATGAGGTCCCAGATATAATTTTTATACACTTTCTATATAGATAATTTTAAGAAATGAATGAAATTAGTAATATTATTTCTATTTGTAAATAATAAAAAGTAATTTATGATGAAATGATTTATAATTTATTTATTTTTAGTAATATACAATAAGTATATTTTTAATTTAAATTTGCAAAATAGCAATTATATATTTAATATTTATGAATTTTGATCAAAATTACAAGTTGAACCTCAAGTCAATATCTTGGAAGATGCTAATAATGTAGACTTGATCTCCTTGCCACCACCTGGACATAATCCAATAATGCAGATAAATGCAAACATTGTAATTATCATAGAAATTATGGTCACATGGTAGAAGAATGTTGGACGCTAAAGAATCAAATTGAAAAATTGATTCAGGCAGGACAACTCAACCATTATATCCAATGATCTCGATCATATCAAGGTGGTTATCGAGGTTGAGGCTGAGGTCGCGGGCGCAATAGAGGTTTGAAAATTTAGCTAAACCAGTCTTCAAGAGTTTGTTAGATCACTAATAACACAAAGCCACAAATAGGTGAGCAAGATAAAGAAGGTACCCATCTCCGTTGTGTAATTAACATCATTGCTAGAGGATTTACAAAAGAGGGGAGCAACCAACTTGGTTCGGAAGAGGAATCTATAAAATATTAACAATGTCAGATCCAGATCAACTACTCCCATCTAATCTACATTGTCGATCACATTCATTGACAATGACTACGTTGGTATCAGTCTAAACCAAGACGATCCAATGGTGATTGCAGTGGAATTGACTAGTTAAGGGGTGCATAAAACCTTAATTGATTAAGGAAGTTCGGTTGATGTGTTTCATTGGCCAACGTTCTTGAAGTTGGACATTCCAAATACTCTTATCCAATCGTACATAGAACCTTTAATTGGTTTTGTGGGTGAACAGGTGCATATTCGTGGCTCTGTGGAAATGTTGACAACTTTTGGGCCACCACCCAACGCACAAAGAATCATGGTCAGATACTTGTTGGTTGAGGCTAACACGTCCTATAACATGCTTATAAGACGACAAACATTGAACCAACTCGAGGTTGTGGTATCAACGCCTCATTTAACCATGAAGTTCCCGGGCACAAATGGAAGAATAATCTTCATAAAGGCTAACCAAAACCCTACTTGGCAATGTTACGTAGAAAGCTTGAAAGTTTCACCTCCAAGTCCAAGCATCGAGCTAATGACTCAACCTCCACCAATGATGGCTCATGTTGCTAACATCGCTAACAAAAAGGTAAGTTGGAAGGAACAAAGATTTTATACCTGGAGTAATAGACAAGAGACAGATTGATGCTCTTCAAAGTATCAACAATGGAAGGAGAAGGATAAGAACAGACAACAAAGAAGGAAGAAAGGAAGGAGGTGCGACACACAAGGGTGTAAATGTAAACAAAGTAAGGACACTGACAATGATTTGTGTTGGCCAAATACATATATTATTGAGGTGGTATGTTGAGACAAACTCGACCATGTAAATCACCAATAACATCGGTATGACACATCAACAATGAGGTTTAGTCAAAAATGGTAGTTCAGTTACATGATAATCAAGACATGATAATTGTGACGATTATCTTATAAAAAATGGATGCCCAATCACAATTAAGGAGAGAGGTATGCATAATATAATACCAAAGAGATATCACGAACACATTAGACAGACTTGATTAGATTGACATGATCGTCAAAATCCTTTTTACAGATACCTTCCCAGTCTGAAATGGAGAAAGAAAATCTTACCTTTTGATGTCGGATTATGAGAAGAAGGAAGAATCTCCTTGGAGAGCTATTCCCGGTAAGAACAAGTGGTATTTCCATGATTGGTTTCACGTTATTAAGTTTTATTTTTATTTCAGAATATTAATAATTTTTTTTTTAAATTAGTAGAAGCTATGAAGTACCGATACTTCAATTTGCTTCACGTATTTGTATTCGTATCTAATATGTATCCGATATGATACTATTGGATACTTCACCGATATGTGTCAATGAAGTATCTTAGCCCTTAAAAATATTATGAAAATTTTATTCAATTCCGATACTTTCAGATACATCACCAATATTTATTGGTGATACGTATCGATAAAATGTATTCAAATTTTTAAAAAATTATGAAATATCCATTACAACTAAATAAGATATATAAACATGTTTAATATACAAACATAGAAATATGGGTCCTTGATGAACTGTAAATAAAAATTGTCTTCTATATAGATAATTTTAAGAAATGAATGAAATTAGTAATATTATTTCTATTTGTAAATAATAAAAAGTAATTTATGATGAAATGATTTATAATTTATTTATTTTTAGTAATATACAATAAGTATATTTTTAATTTAAATTTGCAAAATAGCAATTATATATTTAATATTTATGAATTTTGATCAAAATATAAAGAAGAGAATTTAAGAAAAAATTGGAGGAGTTATGAGGAGGGTGATATTTGAAAAAGGTGTATTACATCATATTCTATTTAGTTTCTTGTCCTAACATATTTGATTTGTGTCTTGAATGCAATAGATTAAATCTTTAGTATTTATTTTTTTTCCAACTGTGAGTGTTATTTAATTTAGTGGTTTTTTATGATGACATTGTTATAATGATGTTAAATGAGATCTTGACCTTTTATGTTTATAAATCAGGAACTAACATGGACTGGAATTAGACTGGAAGAGTTTCAGCCATCTTGCTTTGAGAAGGTTATTGTCATTGCTCATTTTTTTTTTTTGCTTAGTTTTTATTATGATGATAATAGGTTTAAACTTAAAGAGTTCAGGAAAGTTTTGATTATGATGACACACATTATCAAGTACATCATCAATGTTTTACACATCAAATCAGAGTAAAAGTGGCGCACTTGTGTTGTTCATTAAAGATATAGAGAAGGCAATGGTTGGCAACTCTGAAATTTTAAAAAGTAAATTTGAAAGCTTGCCACCAAATATCGTGGTAATTGGTTCTCACACCCAGTTGGATAATCGTAAGGAGAAGGTACTGTTTCACTAATATCATTTGATAGCTAGCATTTGGTTGTATTTATCTCGTGATTAGAGCAAAACTTTGTATTTGATGATTGCATCTTTATGCTTCCAGACTCAAACTGGCGGCCTTCTGTTTACCAAGTTTGGAAGCAATCCGACAGCACTACTTGATCTTGCTTTTCCGGTACATGAATCATATGCTCTTCTTCATACCTTTGTTTTTACCCTTATTTTTTTTGGCCAAGTTGGATATCTTAATACTTGTTAATACCATTATATGCATCATAAATTGGTTTTTTCTGGTTCCTTTTGGAATTAAATATCAATCTACTACAATTTGGTTCTTTGTTTAGGATAACTTGAGTAGACTGCATGATAGGAGCAAAGAAACCCACAAAGTCATGAAGCAACTTAATCGCCTTTTTCCAAACAAAGTGACTGTACAGTTGCCTCAGGTATCAGTGTATCTTGTTATACTCATTTGATTTTGCAATTTATAATGTTGCTAACTTGCTATTTACCTATCATATATCTGTTTTGCTTCCAAACTTGTACAGGACGAGGCTTTACTTTCTGACTGGAAGCAGCAGTTAGATCGTGACATTGAAACTATGAAAGCTCAGTCCAATGTTGTCAGCATTCGCTCAGTAAGTCTTGCAAAATCTCTCAATCATATTCAATGCTTAATCTTGCTGTAGCAACCGGACCCACACACTGTATGATCTGATAGGGACCAACCAACCCTAGTGTCAACTTGCTTGCCCTCAATGCTCTACCCACACCAGAAGTAGGGGTCACCTTCAGAAACACATGCTCCCCTTCAGCAAACTCCAAAAGCTCACGCCTTTTATCAGTATATGACTTCTGCTTACTCCGAGCAGTCTTCATCATCTCTTGAATCAACTTCACCTCCTCAGTAGTCTGTAGGATTAGCTCCGGTCCCACAACCACTGACTCACCATCTTAGTACTAGCACAGAGGAGTCCTACATCTTCTGCCATATAAGGATTCAAACGGCCCCAACCCAATACTAGCATGAAAGCTATTATTATACATGAACTCAACCAGCGGCAGGACCTCCTCCCAGCTTCCCAAGTGATCTAACATACAATCCCTTAAGAAATCCTCCAACACAGCTTTCTTCAGCTCAGCATTATGAGGCAGAGGCGGTGGATGGAGTTTCTGAAGGATTATGATTTTCAGTTGATGTATCATCTGGGCAAGGCCAATGTGGTGGCAGATGCGCTGAGTAGGAAGTCCATCCACATGTCGAGCATGATGGTAAGAGAGCTGGAACTGGTCGAGAAATTCAGAGATTTGAATCTCTGTGTAGAGTTAGCTCAGGATCACATTAGTTGTGGGGCAGTTACCATAACTAATGAGTTCTTGAGGCAGGTTGGACTCAAGCAGTTACAGGATGAAGAGTTGGTGAGACTTCTTGGTTTGCTGGGTACCGATAAAGTTGCTGGTTTTGAACTGGGAGAAGATGAGATCTTGAGGTTCAGAGGCAGGATTTGCCTACCTCAGGATGCTGAGCTGAGGAGGGCTGTATTGGAAAAAGGCCACAAGAGTAGACTTAGCATACACCCAGGTATGACTAAGATGTACCAAGATCTCAAGAAAACTTTCTGGAGGTATGGTATGAAAAGGGAGATAGCTGAGAATGTGGCGGCATGTCTGACCTGTCAGAAAGCAAAGGTTGAGCATCAGAAGCCGAGTGGGTTGATGCAACAGATTGAGATCCCCGAGTGGAAGTGGGATAGCATTACTATGGATTTTATTGTGGGGTTGCCGAGGTCAGCTAGGAATAATGATGCTATCTGGGTGATTGTTGATCGGTTGACCAAGTGTGCGCATTTCTTGCCTGTCAACATCAAGTGGTCCTTTGAGAAGCTGACGCAGTTGTATGTGAAGGAGATAGTACGGTTGCATGGGGTGCCTTCCAGTATTATTTCCGACCGAGATCCGAGGTTCACTTCCAGATTTTGGCAGAGTCCACATCAAGCCTTAGGCACGAAGCTGAAGCTGAGTTCTGCTTATCATCCGCAAACAGATGGTCAGTCAGAGAGGACAATCCAATCCTTGGAGGATCTGCTGAGAGCTTGTGTGTTGGATCACTTGGGTAGCTGGGAGGAGGTCCTACCGCTGGTGGAGTTTACTTATAACAACAGCTTTCATGCTAGCATTGGGATGGCACCATACGAAGCCCTGTATGACAGAAGATGTAGGACTCCTCTGTGCTGGTATCAGGATGGGGAGGCAGTGGTTGTGGGGCCGGAGATAATCCTACAGACTACTGAGAAGGTGAAAATGATTCAGGAAAAGATGAAGACTGCTCAGAGTAGGCAGAAATCTTATGCGGATAAAAGGCGTAAGCCTTTGGAGTTTGCTGAGGGGGAGCATGTGTTTCTGAAGATGACTCCGACTTCTGGTGTGGGCAGAGCGCTGAGGGCACGGAAGTTGACACCAAGATTTGTGAGTCCCTATCAGATCATACAGCGTGTAGGTCCGGTTGCTTACCGGTTGGCTTTGCCACCGTCCCTTTCAAACCTACACGATGTATTTCATGTATCCCAGCTGAGGAAGTATGTGCATGACCCAGGCCATGTGGTGGGGCGGGACGATGTGCAAGTGAAGGAGAACCTGACAATGGAGAAGTTGCCAGTAGCTGTGGTTGATCATAAGCTGAAGGAGTTGAGGGGAAAGTCCATTGCTCTAGTAAAGGTGTTGTGGGATACAACTACTGGTGAAGCTACTTGGGAAGTGGAGCAGCAGTGCAGGCAGCAATATCCATTTCTTTTCCCAAGTAAATCTGTTTTCGGGGACAAAAACTCTTGTTGTTGGGGAGGTTGTGAGACCCCATTCCTTCCGCAAGTTCCTCTTTCACCTTTACATTCTTTTCTCTGATTTCCCACTTGCTCTCCTTACTTTCTTTCCTTTTCTTGATATCTCAAGGTGGTTGTGCTGAGTGAGCTTGGACTCTGCTAGCTAATTTTCGGAGTTCTCTCTTGTTCGTTCGTGTTCGTTCAAGCTCCCTTTCGTCTCTCTTCTCTGTTCTTCAATCGTCTCTTCCCGGAAGCTCGGATTCCTTCACCGAGGTAAGGGAAGCTAGGATCTTGTACTGGTTGTTGTTGAGTGAGTTA